GTTCCTGTTGGAGAAGAGGTTGGCTGGACCCCATAACCGGTCTGTACGACCGGGAGAAAACAAAATACTTGACCCTATCTGGGCTAGAGCTCCGACCACTCAGTCTTCCAGCCCATAGACAGTCGGTATACCGACTACGCTATCCTAGCTAAAAACAATAATAATACAATTCTTTATAGACATACATGCTGTTCCTAAAATAGGAAGGTAAATAAAATCCAATTTTTTGACAATGGAACATTAATATAATTATTTTTTTGACATCCGTTGTCTTGATTTAATTTAAAACAATGTTTCAGTTACTGAACTGTTTCCGTCCTGTGTGAAAATTCTACTTGGTTGAGCCCAATCGATGGAGCTAGTCGTCGTCTCCGAAGATAAGACCCAAATTAGTAGGATTTTAACCTGAGGATAGACGCAGAATCCAGTCTCCGAAACGTTGTTTTAAATAAAGACAGGACGATGGATAGTATACGAAAGGTAAATAATTATATCACGATAGGAAGAACAAGAAGAGGAAGAGAAAGATGAATAAATATGAGAGGAGGATGGCGTTTACCTTACCATCAGTTCCAGCACGTCGTCTCTCACGTTGCGATGGTGGTTGCATATCGCATAGGCGGAGGAGTGCGAGAATATGACGGGAGCCACCGACACGTTAATGGCGTCGATCATGACATTGTGAGAGACGTGGGACAGGTCCACCATCATGCCCAGCCGGTTCATCTCCTTCACCATGGTCTGCAAACACACAGACATGAATCTCTGGGTGTGAAACTTGGGTCTTTCACTCAAATCAAAGGGAAGGGANCAGTCTATGTAAGTTTTGAGGTTTTCACGGCGATGACTATGAAGAAAGTCGTCTTCTGGGTTTTGGCGCCGTGTATTCTTTGTTTTGGCCGACGTTTCGGAGGAACGTCAGCCAAAACGAAGAATACACGGGGCCAAAACCCAGAAGACGACTTTCTTCATAGTCATCGCCGTGAAAACCTCAAAACTTACATAGACTGAGGGTGTTTGAGAACAGGGTGTTGAGGAGAATATTTGGACTGAAGAGAGATGAAGTGACAGGAGGTTGGAGAAAATGCATAATTAGGAGCGTCATAACTAGTACTGTTCTCCAAGTATAATTACAAAGGTCGGATAAAAAGTAGTGGCAACACCTCTATAATTCTGAAATGACTTTATTACCTGAGGTAACCAAACCGACATTCCTTCAAGAGAAAAAAATTCCAGGATTTTTTTCTTTTTTCTGCCCTGAAGATGGAGGCGACACGTTCCTCCGAAACATCGGTTTATACTATATCTACACGGCGCCACATCCCAGAAGACGGCATTCTTCAAGGAAATATTTATCACTCGTATTCATTGAAATGTGTTCCGTAACTCGTTTCCTAGCAATGGAACTACAAGGCACAATATCATATAAGTAGGACTATGAGAATCAGAAAGTTCAATGAAATTATATAAATGTACAATCGCATCAACTAAATTCTCAGTTAGTATGAGACAAGCGACATTCTTTAACACATTTTTATGCCGGCTGGCGACTCTGTCACAACTAACTCATTGTTCCAACTGTCGACTCTCAACTTAACTCAACTCAGCTCAACTAGGCAACTCTCACTAACTCTCCTGCTCATCACATCTTATACGGACAGCACAGAAAACACATATCCTCTATTGCTGTTTCCAACTGATGCTGTGAAAACATACTTGTATGCGAAGCCGTTACTCAGTAACGGCTGCTGTATAGTTGCTTATCTCACGGTCGTTGCCAAGCAACGGGTCTCCCAATGCCACAATATATAAAATTGCAAGAGTAAATTCATCATTTACATCCAGGTATTTCCCTACCCACGTAGATTTAAACGTTTATAATTTATGTTCTTTTCTCAAAATAAGAGGCCACGTTTTACAGCCATTCATAACAGTACATTTATGATATACTGTACTGATATAAGATTGATCGCTTACTTTTCCATAGTCAGTGAGGCCATTGTGTTCTGCAGGTGTTCCAGAATTTATGTCGTCCGCCGGTGAAGCATCGCCCCTAAAACAGTCATAATGCCCACATTAAGTTTGCAGCGTCTTGTCACATCACCATGCATGTTAAGTTAGGATTTCTTCGAAACATTCACGCAATTCCTATGCATTGCTTGCTCGACATTCGTGAAGTTATCGCGGTACTAGACTGCCGTGCTTGTCCGTATCTTCGACAGCATACTCCAACCTACAGACCGCTGAAGTATTTCAGGGAAGTTTCGTATGAAGGTTATAAACTCGTGTTTGTAAAATACGTTTAATTTGGGCCCATAGCTTCATAATACGCTGAAATCGAAATTCGTCAGGTTTCTAAAAAAAATCGTAGTACGAATATTTTGGTTCAGAAACACAAGAAGTTTCCCTATGTGCTCTGCGCGGTTATACGCAAAGCCTTGAATATGTTTGTTAAACATACGGAAACACTCTTAAGACAAATAATACGGAACAAACGACATATATTTTGTTAAGTATTTTGTAATTAATGTGTCACGAATCATCTATGGTCTAGTGGTCAGAGTTCTTGGATACAGATCCAGAGATTCCGGGTTCGATTCCCGACGCTACCAGAATTTTCTGACAAGTAGTGTGTCTGAAACGGGGTCCACTCAGCCTCGTAATGTTAATTGAGGAGCTATATCAAAGAAATTACGGCTCAGGTCTAGAAAACCGAAATTATGGGCCGTGGTGATCCGTTGCTCTGACCACGTGACACCCTCTATCCGCAAAAGTTGGCCCTAACTTCACCGATAAGAGGCGGTCGCTCGGTCGGTATAGTTAGCTTGGGGACTACAGGNTTGAACCAATCGACCTGCTTACATTGGTTTCATTTGATAGTTGCTACATGTTTCGGTCCGCATTTAGGACCACCTTCAGGCAGTGTCATCAAATATGTCTCTTGTTGTTGAACTGTCCTAGTATGGATCCATATTTGTGCTACTCATCACAATCATATAACACGTGCAGCCGTCACGAAGTTGCAAGAACCTTCTAATTCTAATATTTTCAAAATTTAGTGTTATTTAAAATTCCCCTGTCGTTGAATGTAAAATTTTATGTCCATGATTTATTCTGAACGTCTTACAGTGCATACATTTATTCACCTTACTCTTCTCTCTTGCACTACATGTTACATTGCATGCAATGAAGTAGTTCGACGTACATAGAAAAGCACCTGAAGATGGCACTTTAGTGCCGAAACATGTAGTGCAAGAGAGAAGAGTAAGGTGAATAAATGTATGCACTGTAAGACGGTCAGAATAAATCATAGACATGAATCAGTGCAACAGGACGCTAAAATATAACATTAAAATTTTATGTATATTTTTATTTTTATTGTCGCATTGACGGCCAAATCCACCTATCACGATACACAAGAGGATATAAGCATCGAAGATAGGACTTAAAAGATTATGCCAAGGCCTACTTTACCAATTAAATATTCGTCAGCCATAAATCTAGGGAACTGTCTAATATTTGCAATATTTGAATTACTTACTAGGCGGTGTCAGAAATTTATCCACCCGACACCCCATATTCCTATTGTACCAGCCCCAGATGATAGGTGAGGGTGATTGTGGAGCAATTGGTGTGATGAAGATTGGCAGGGAAACCGAAGTACTCGGAGAAATCCTAGCCCAATACCATTTTGTCTACCACAAATCCCACATGAAGTGAGCCGGGCTCGAACCCGGGCCGCCGCTGTGGGAAGCCAGCGACTAACCGCCTGAGCGAAGCGGCCTCCATAGTCTAGAGGTAACGTTCCCACCTCATGACTCGTAGTACGCGGGTTCAAATACCCGGCGGAGGTCGTCGAATTTTTAAGGGCGGAAAATTTCAGGGAACAAGTCCTCTGGGAGGGACTTTAAGCCGTGGGTCCCGTGTCGTAGCTTTACGGCACGTAAAAGAACCTCATATCTCCAAAGGAGGTCACTGAGCCAAATTAACGGACGTTTCCCGCCCAACAGCAGTCTCTAATACCTCTGGTAGAGGGGGGAAGCATTATAGATACCTCTCAGCTAGTAGAGACGATCTCGCTGGCTGGGCGGGACTGATGGTAAGCACCAGTACCGGTAGGATATAGAGACTGGTAGAAATCACAGAGGGAAGCACAATGGACCAATACAGGTCTCCGTGCATGGGGAAACCCACCCTCTCCAATAACTAACTAACTAAATAACTAACCGCCTGAGCTATGGCGCGGCCCCGTACCCCAGAAGGAAACATAGGTACGGTGTCGACTATGAGTATACTCGCATAATCACCATGGCAACTAAATCTGTTCTGAAGGAGACAAAAGCGACGTAAAAAATGTGATTATTATTTGGGTTGCTTTTCAAACGGTGCTCTCTGTATTATAACACTTAACTGACAGATTTTAGTGAAATTAGGTATGAATGTCATTCTACTGGAAGTCATTTTATTTGACACCATTCAACACGCTGTATTCAGTAACATTAAAAATGTAGAGACAAGCTTAGTGCTACTAAATGCTTGAAATTTAAGTAATTAAGTATATTGCATTTCTTTTATGTTTTTCTGATTGACTGGTTGTCATTTTGTAGAATCTGAGGTTCTCACAGTGGAGATTATGAAGAGTTCTCTCTTCTGGGATTTGTTAGACGTTTCGAATATCGGTTCATTTTCAACGGACTATTCGGCGTTATATCCAAGGAAATGGAACTCTTTGATTATTATTTAATTCAAGGTTGCTCTTCCAACTGCAGATGATAGGGTAGGAAATATATCATAAGTAGTGAGTGTAGAGGTGGTCGTGGCCTATTTCGAGAGAATGTCACTGTATTCTTACACTCATATAACTCTTCTGCAAATTGTTGCTAGGAATGACGTCATCATGAAAATAAAATGGAAACCACAGCCTTAGTTACATCAAGAAAAATTGTAATGGTTGCCGATACACCGCGTAGTTAATTAACATAAACTTAGTACCAGTACTACTCACCAGGGAGTGTTGCACGAATGCGTCAGAGTGACGTAGCGAGCGCCAAGTTCATACATGAGCCTCAGCATCGCCAGTCGATTATCGAGTGAATGACCGCCTTCTACAGCTACGAAACTGGCAATTTTACCGCTATTGAAGGCTTCCCATATATCTGGAAGAAAGTGAGACTGAGAACGGAAGAAAGAAAGGAAGAAGAAAGAACGAAAGAAAGAGGGAGAGAAAGCGTTGTGGCATGTCTGCCGAACGCCAGAATTATGAAGCCAACAGAAATATCCGTTGCTCGCGAACGGCTCTGCAAACACCCGTTGCTAGGCAATGGTCGCAACAGACTTGCACGCAATAATAGAATAGCTGTTGGAAGCAGTGTTCTTTGTGCTGTCCGTGCGGAGGCTGTATAACGAGTGCTGAGTATGCCACAAAGTATCGTCCTATGTCCCACGTTGTACTATATATACACACTTCAGACACCTGGTACTCCACCTAGGTCCCTCTTCTGATGACACTTATATACGTATGCGACAGACTTCACAGAGGTTATGTTCTAAGAAAGCTGCAGCGAGGTCTCAGTGTTATCATCTTCCAGTCAAAGGGGATGCTGCATAAGAACTATGACCGCAAGCGTTCATTTACGAAAAGAAACAGATGGTCGTGATTCTCGAGGGGCTTGACATCAAGACGAACTGATTGGCAGTAAACTTCCCATTGTAAAATAATACTAACTCTGATTATGACTTTTAAAACATGATCATGAGTCCCGCGGGATTTGGATCCGAGAAAGACTAAACTGGCGAGCCAGCAGCAATTATAACCGACAGACCTTTCCTCTCGTTAGAGAGGACACCCCACATCAGCAAACCCTCAATTATCTGACAGTAATAAAAATCTGGTCTTGGGCCCCAGATGGGTGCTTGACACTAAGACTGGCCGACTGACCGTCGGTCGTAACATAATTTTAACTTGAGCCCGCAGTTAGAAGAGTAAAAGTTTAGCGCGATTTTGCCTCCAGTCTGCGAGGTCATGATCCCGGAAGCAGGGAAACGTCCACTGTTGGAGACGTTACCAAGCAGAACATTGAAGAACGTGTAAAGTATAATCACGAGTTGGGTGTCAAATCGGATTACTAATCTAAACCCTGACAATAGTCACTGTATCTCGTGACATTATTTACCTTCAGCCGAGGTTGCGTAGTGTAGATCGTCTGGATACTCGCGAACAAGGCGCTTGATGACGTCTATTTGCTCCAGCGTTTGTTCTACAGCATCCTTGAACTGAGAACTGCAGCCCACGAAAGCTACCCAGAACTGCAAGAGAAGCGATCTAAATACATGTGCTCAGGACGGAAATAAACTTAACATAAATCAACATTAACCGCATTTAAAAAAAATTGGCCACATACAAGTTATATAACTGTCATTTCATGTACAAGCATATAACCACATAACCACATTTCGCATTGATACTTGGTGTGCGGTCTTTCTTACCAAGCTGATGCTATCAGTGACATGTTGAAATTATGGGATATTAAGTGATCCTTGTGCCTGTCACGGTAGCCGAGCGGTCTAAGGCATGTACTGTCTTCGCTCACTTGGAAACAGGGATCGTGGGTTCGAATCCCACTCAGGGCATGGATATTTAGTTTGTGTGTGTGGGTTTTTCTGTGTTTGTGTACAGGTAGAGGCCTTGCGACGAGCTGATCACCCGCCCAAGGAGTCCTACCGAATGTGTAAGATCTAGAAAAACCGAAGTGAACGGAGAAGTTCATGGATGTAGGACTAGGCCCACTGGAGTTGTAGTGCCAAAGAAAGAAAGTGATCCTTGTACCCTTAATTCCAATAATTAAAACAGAGACGAAACACAAGTTTCAAGATGCTCTTCTAAAGGGGCATCTCCCCCCGAGAAAACGACAACAGCTGGAAATAGAGGGAATATCGGTGGCAGACCCACCTATTGGCAGAATCAGTGCTGTCTGCCACCATCAAGTGAAACTCTTCATCAAAGCGTTTTGTTACAAAAATCCCACGTACTTCTGTGTGAGTTTATTGCTTAGAGGGACATTAGGCAATTAATAGAAATTTTGGAAATAGAGAAAGAGATAACTTGTTCTCAGGCGCAAGTGAAATTGAAGAAGAAAACAAACAAAGAAAAAACTCCGTGGTTTTAGTCCGCAAGCGAACTATACCGACCCAGCGACCGCCGCTTGTAGGCGAAGCTAGTGCCAATATTAGAGTCAATTTTACCGACCACACAACATATTTTTATTATTATTACACTACATGTTTCGACCTCAAGAGGTCATCCTCAGGTGTACGAACACAGCTGTATAATTACACGCAATCACCTTCGTTTTTCCCCTTATTNTAATAATAATAATAATAATAATAATACTAAAAATAAAAATATGTTGTGTGGTCGGTAAAATTGACTCTAATATTGATTAAATACACAACAGGATGCAAGAAACAATTGAAGTTAATGCCAACTTTAGCGGATAGAGGGTGACGCATGGCCAGAGAAACGAATCCCCACGGCCGTTAATTTCGGTTTTCTAGACCGGAGCCGCTGCTTCCTTTAAAATAGCTCCTCAGTTACCCTCACAAGGCTGAGCGGACCCCGTTCCAGAGCAACTACTTCTCAGAAGATCTGGTAGCTAGAGAAAATAATTTTGGAACTTTCTGTGAAGTCGAAACAGGCATCAGCACAGTGCATGATGAGAAGCCACAGCAGAAATAGAGAAATGAGAATTACTAAAGAAATGCCCTAATACTTAAAAGGGAACAATTAGTAACTAGTTAGTTATAAGAGGCTGTGCTTCGAAGAGCTGAGAATTACTTACCTGGCTAAGACATTTTTATCATTTTCATAAAATTATATGTATTATTACCGAGTTCAAAAAATCCTGACACTGGATCGTATCTTGAGGACGTTAAATCCAGGACATATTTTTACATTCTGTTTTTCTAAGATTCCATATTAATATTACGCTAGTATTCTAATTTGCGCCCGTGTCCCCCAAGTGGCATTTTCTCCTCAGGCTCTCATATAAAAAATTTTGCATGCATTTTCGCTTTACTCTATGTATACTACGAGTCACGCCCATTTGACCCCTATGATTTAACTGTCAAAGTAATATAAATCGAAGGGTAAATATTAAGATAATCTTTATTATCGGAGTTCATGGAGGTAGGCCTAGGCCCACTGGGGCTGTAGTGCCAAGGAAAAAAAAAATCTTTATTATATAATTTTCCCTTTCTACAGACTGCATATTGCAGATTGAATGGTTCCAGAACATATACCGTGCAGAGCTCCAGACTCCCATATGAAGACAAATGTGCATATCCTAATAATGCTAAGAAATATAAAATAAATATACAATGAAAGAAAAATACGCTTCTATTTACTCAGATTTCTGGGTCAATAAGAGAGATGCATACCAACAAACTTATTGTATAGCTTAGAGCTGAAATACCAATAAATTTGACCTTTAATTGTGCGAAGCAAAATCTTGTGTTGACAAATACGAGGAAGAGTCGATGAAAAGGTCACAAATGGATGTAAAATGTAAAATATGTAATATTCCAACAAGGACAAAACATTTATTTCTCGACGTATCCTCCGCCAACATTGACACACTTGTTCCGTCACATTACCGCGTCGAGAATCGCAGCATAGAAGTCTTTTGACTCTTGTCTCAGCCATTTCCGCACCTGGTAGGACATCATCTTCGGCTTTCGAACCCCCTTGAGAGAACTTTCCGACACAGTCGTGAACTGCTCTAAGCGCCAAAAACTTCCCATCGTAAACAGGAAATATTTCTTCATTAATATCCTTTACATTGATTCCCTTTCCCCACAAGAACGCACAACAACGATGCTCTTCAGTATTATACGCTTCAAACACTGCAGCCATGTTGACTACTGAAACCAGCCCCTGAACATGCGCATGCGCGTCTGCTACCCAGACTGGCATGAAGCTGGAATGCGCAGCTATCTAGTGATAAATATATAAAACCTATTACTTCCATTACGGCTGTGTTACTTCCATTTGTGGTCTATTTACTGACTCCTTCTGGTACCTACAGTTTATCTGAAGACCTGAGTTCCCACTCATTCTGTTCATAACCGAATGTTAAGTCTAACATCAAGTGAGAATTTGTCTCTTATGATTTCACTGGTAACGGTTGTAGACAAATATCAAAGGCATATAAACAGACCTGAGCCCCTACTCGTCCTGCACGCAGTCTCGGCAGGTCTGTGAATGATGAAGCCACTTCACTCCAGTAAGCGTCGGACGACAAATTAGCCGAGAAGTTGAAGTTGGCCAGTTGATTCTTGAGATGGGATCTCAGGTTGTACGGTAGGTCATTGTGGCTGTAAAGTCAAACGATCAGCTTCAAGATTAACCCTTTCTAAGCCTCTTAACAGGATATGCCACTTAATATCATCTTTCACTTGTGCTTAAAATATTCTTACTTGTATCACGATTGACCTTCAGGTAGATATATAGTTACACCCATTGGTTTTCACCGTGTAGTAAAATGCGTTCTGTCTCTGATTTTATTACAATAATGGCGAATATTCCGCTTGACACATTGCCTAGGAACAAGGCTGTAGAATGCTGGCGAAACTAACTGTAGGACAAACGTCATTGTGAACGAGAATGAATGACGTCGCAGATAAACATTAACATTTCATTAACATTTCATTAAAGTTCAAATAAAGTAAGCCGATCACGGTGGCTGCACCGTCTAAGACATGAACCGTCTTCGCTTGTTCGAACACTAAGATCGTGGGTTCGAATCCCACTGAAGACATGGATGCCTGTATATGTATTTATTCCGTGTTTGATTTGTTCTTTGTGTAGACAGCGGCCTTGCGACGGGCTGATCTCCCGTCCATGGAGTCCTTCTGACTGTGTACAGGATTAAGAAACTGAAATAGCGGCCAAGGCCAAACAAAAGTCTGCAGAGCCATAGACAGACAGATAGGTAGATAGATAGGTAGGTAGGTAGATAGAACTATCTCTGTGCTTGAGCGTCACTATTAGAATATGTATAGGAGTTGTGTTGATACAGGTCATCGCATTTCTTAATGCCGCTGAGCCCGGGGGTCAGTGGTCAGAGGTCGGTTCATTGACTGCAAAGATCCCAGTTTACTCACGGTACAGAAGGCTGCGTAGATCATGCAACTGATTTGGGCGTTGTGGAGAAGACAGGAATCCAGCAGCGGACATCCAGCGCTCAGCCGGTTACTTTGTTAATTGTGTCATCGAATTCTTTCTTATCTTTGTAGATAAAAATTTATCAATATCTTTAAGTTGGAAATGAACACCATTTTTCTTAGAGAGGACAGAAATAAATGCTCCTGATATTGAGAAAATGTGTACTACTTACATTTTACGGAGAGGGAACATGGGGTTTGTGTCGTTTGAAATGTTTTAAGACAGAAGGGCGAATAGCACGATCGTCTTACTACTTCAACATCTGATAACGAATATGGAATAAAAACTCGTGAATTCTTGAGAAATGGTTGCCAATTCACGTTCCGAAAGAAGACAGAAGAAAGTAAACGAACACAGAAACAAGAGTTATTTTGAGCGAGGAATGTAACACAAAGAGGGGCTGTGACAGAAGGTACCCAAAACTCTGGACGTAAATAAGAATGTGGATGAAAGAAATTCACTTGGATCTACAACAAAAATTTTTTGAACATCCGAACTTTGGAAGAAACGCAGAGGCTGTCAGCGAGACCTGTGCCACACACTGCGATCTAGAAAAAGAATCTATTTAAGTTTAAGGTCTTTCATTCTGGTCCGTCACACTAACCAATTAACAATCAAGTTCCTTCCGTCAAATGTGACACTTTTTTAAGTTTTCCACCTCGTCAGCACCTGCCTTACATGTTTCGGCTCACCACGGAGCCATCATCAGAGGCATTTATAGTAGAAAAAGAAATCACCAACACACAAAACTTCACTTTGTCCAAGATAGCCACGTTCCAGTTAATTAAAATAATTACAAATAGTTAAAATTACCCAGAATGTCGGTTCACTAAAAGTTTTTCACACACCACAGTAGCTTCCTTATTTGATTCGTCGTTAATTCTGTAAAATTATGTTTCGTTATTTGAAGTAAGAATTCTTAAAATCCCTAGAATTCTTTCCCGCTTGGCCCAATCTTTTTGCTTCGGGATGTTGTTGACGTGTGTTGTCTGTCGGTAGTTGATGTTGCTTGTCTGTGTGTTGTGATGCTTGTGTGCTTCTTTTTTCTACTATAAATGCCTCTGATGATGGCTCCGTGGTGAGCCGAAACATGTAAGGCAGGTGCTGACGAGGTGGAAAACTTAAAAAAGTGTCACATTTGACGGAAGGAACTTGATTGTTAATTGGTTAGTGTGACGGACCAGAATGAAAGACCTTAAACTTATTTAAGCTAGTCAAGCTAAACTGGTGAATCGATACATTAATACGAAAAGGAAACTACTAACAACCAACGCTCACATATGGTTTAATCGGACCTGCCAGAACAAAAACATTACACCAAGGTATGCCAACCTAAAACTAAAAGGCTCTAATAACGCAATAAAATTAATCGACATTCTGGGTAATTTTAACTATTTGTAATTATTTTAATTAACTGGAACGTGGCTATCTTGGACAAAGTGAAGTTTTGTGTGTTGGTGATTTCTTTTTCTACTATAAATGCCTCTGATGATGGCTCCGTGGTGAGCCGAAACATGTAAGGCAGGTGCTGACGAGGTGGAAAACTTAAAAAAGTGTCACATTTGACGGAAGGAACTTGATTGTTAATCTATTTAAGTGTTCAGACCGCGGCCATAGCTCAAACTGTTAGTCGTTGGTTTCCCACCGCGAAGGCCCGGGTTCGAGCCCGAGTATGGTCAAGTGGGTTTTGTGGTGGACAAAGTGGCGCTGGGGCACGTTTTCTCCGAATACTTCGGTTTCTCTTCCCAATCTTCATTCCAGCAATTGCTCCACAGTCACCATCATCTATCATCTGGGGCTGGTACAGTAGGCCAGTAGTGGCCTCAGTACCAAGTGGACTCAGTCTCACCCCACTAAGAATAATAATAAAAAATAATGTAAACGTCCAAAGAAAAATCAGAATATCCGATACAGAAAACGAGAAGGGATATCACGACATATAATCACGCACAAACAAAAAACAAAAATTCCTCGGTTTCAGTCTGCAATCGAACTATACCGACCGAGTGACCGCCGCTTGTCGGCGAAGTTAGTGCCAAATTTAACGGATAGAGGATGTCGCATGGCCAGCGCAACGGATCTCCAAGGCCCTTAATTTCGGTTTTCTAGACTGGAGCCGCTATTTCCTTGAAATAGTTCCTCAGTTTTCGTCACGAGGTTGAGTGGACCCCGTTCCAGTCTCACTATCTCTCAGAAAATCTGGTAACGCCGGGAATCGAACCCGGACCTATGGATCTGTAGCCAGGAACTCTGACCACTGACCACAAAGGCAGTCATAATCACCTCACCAGGACTATGCCCTCAGACTGACAAGTGTATTTTTCACCAAGATAGTCCATCTTGCAGCACTGAAGATAAAATTATTTTTGACATAAGAAGAAATACCACTCTTGAAACGTCTTGTGTACTCCGCTGATTTGGTCCTGTATGACTGTTTAGTATTCTATAAAATAAAAATATCCCCTTTGAAAGTGTCTAATTTCGAATAACTCGAAGCGATTGAGAGCTCTGAGGGGACAGTACTCAATTAACTTTCGGAAAATATCCTTCCGGAAGGTTACGAAGCGTGGCAGAGAAGTTAGAACACGTCTGGAAAGCCAAAAGTGACAGTACTTCGAAGGTAAATTGCACTCACTAAATTTTAGTGACAGTATATTTTTTTCTTTTAGAATCATTACCTTATTTTGTTATCCTTCTATATTTATCTGTTCTTTTACAGCCCCTCAAGGATCCGAAGTAAATTTCCATTCCATAGAAGGATATGCAGGTTTTCGTATCCTCTTAGGGAACAAGGGTAGAAATGCGTGTATTAGACGGCAGAGTCAAGCGTTAGTAATTGTTTAACATGGAACTGCACTGGTTTGCCACTGAATCTGAATTAAACCACGCGAAATGAATCGATTCTTTTGGATATTAGCTCTGTCACAGATCATGGAACATCTGTTACTGGAAGTACTGTAGTACTGTACAAATCGATAATTCAAAATGTTGGAGAACAGGAACTGAATTATCGGATAATCAACAGAATACATCGGAATACCAAAGTATCTGATGTTATGGAACGAGAAATTTCATCTGTGAGACATCAAAAGCACATTTATGAAATTTATTCTCAAGAGAATATTTCAGTGGACTATCTGCTTTCTACTGTTAATTTAATTTCGCATTGCACCAAAATAACGTGTTAATCTACATTTCTAAAGCAAGACAACACAAAGGAGGAGAGAATTTTTTGGGTGGGGGGAGTAGTAGAAAAGAGTGGGAATGCACAAAGAAAAGGTCTACTGCATAGAAATAAGTAAGTCACGAAATAAAGAGGACCAAGCATGGAAGAAATGGAACAAATGAAAACATAAATAAATGAAAAAGTAAAGAAAAATTAAAATATGGAAAAAGAAATAAAAAAAGACTAACACAAAAAAATAAACGAAAAAGGAATGATAGAGAATATATGGTAAAAGTTAAAGTTGTCCCTGTGTTCAACGAATTTAAGCAATACGTCATTCAGGCGTATGGGGTGTTGCATGTATGGATCCACATATTCTTGACCTCGACATTAGCTTGAGGTGAGTGGTCAGCTTCACGCCCCTGCCGCTTTACCCTCGAGGAAAGAGCCCCCTACCCATTGGATAGGAGGGTGGGTGGACCCCAGAGCAGGTCTGGACGATTTGGAGAAGAGAAAATTCTTGACTCTACTGGGACTCGAACTCTGACCCCTCAATCGTCCAGTCGCTACACCGACTGCGCTACCCCGGCTCGGAAAAGTAAAGGAAGAAAATGAAAAAGGTAGATAAATATAAATAAGCGGTGGTAACTTCTTCAAGGTTGTATTCAGGCATTTCCTGGAGAGATAGTAACGAAATCAACGAAGAGTAGTAATAGATATTATAGGTCGCCGGGCCAGGCTTCAAACCCATGATATCTTGAATGTGAAGCAAGAGTTCCCATTTTTTAATCTCTGTTTATTTATTTTCCTTTATTTATGACCTTCTTTATCGATCACATTTTGCTTTTATTATTTATTCATTCTTTTGATTTTCTTTTCTCTGTATTCTTATGAATCCTTAGAAAATTTCTCATCCAGAGAAAGACACTGACCTATAGGATTGTGTATCCTCTCACGAAACAGGGTAGCAATGCGAATTATTATGCGGCACGCATTGTCCCCAAGTGCTTTAATATCCAACCACATCACTTTTGCCAGCATATACTATCTGAAACCACACATATGCAGCACATGCTAAACCTTGACCTTTAAGTCTGACCCTGCAATTAGCTAGCGACAGAGTAAGGAAGTTAGCACTGTTCAACCGTGACAATCAGTTAGGATTTAGTAGCCTGGGCATTAAAGGGTTAAACGTATAAATGACACATATTCACAATTTTGAGATCCACGTGTGTAGTTCCCAGCTGACTCACCCGTCAATGAGAGGCACTTTGTAGAGAACGTCAGATCCACGTGCGGATCGCTTGATAGAGAAGCCTGCTGTCCCTCTGGCGGCCAGCATCAAGATCAGCACAACAGCTGCAGTCATACGGCAAGATTATAAGCACAGCCGGAGTGACGGTGACCCTGCAATGTAACTACCGTACCTACTTATAACGAGATACTTTAACTGGGCGCCAGAGCTGTTGCGTTCTTGCGCAAAATCTGGCTACATTCCAATAAGCTATGCTTTCGTTATTAGTCTTATTGGGGACACGTGGTAGCGTAGTTGGTTGAGACACTATGCTACAAACCGGAATATTGCGGGTTCGGTTCCCGATGAGGTCACTGGATTTTTAAATTGACCTAATAATCCTTCCAGCCTCTCTATGCCTCTGCGGTCGACTCAGCCTCTAACAGAAATGAATACCAATAATCTTCCTGGTGGGTAAAGGGTGGCCGGCGCGTAAGGCTGAG